TTTGAAACTGTCTCATTGCTATTCGTTTCTCAATAAAATTATGGAAAGAAAAAAGAAAAAAGACTCTTTACTTCAATTATCATACCTAAGGCAGTCTGCACACGTGACACCACCACACGCCATGCACACCTGTTGCTTACCCCGACAGCACATTTGTTTTGCTTTCCTGGTCTTTTTGTAGATAATACTTGATATCTCAGTGATTTAGCTGTTTTGTCAGGAGGTTTTTATTTCATTATATAGTATAAGTTAACAGTGGCATAAACTATAAATTGTTAAAGTTTTAATCTGTATTTTATGTTTAGAATAGACATCAACATTTTCACACCAGTTGTGTACTTGCCTACAAAACCTAAAAATAAAATCAGAAGTAAATTCCTATATGAACTATAACAAGCATACCAATAGAACACTGCTAAGAAAAGCTTTGCTTCAAATGTCACACCCACAGCAGTCTTCAGAGAACTGCATGATCCATGTACATATCTTTCTTTCACTAATAGTATGTCTCTTCTATGTGGCAGTCTTGTCAACTCTTCCTGTTTTGTCAGGATCCTCCTATATTATACAACATGCACTTAGAGAAATAAGATATCAATAAAAAATCAAAGATATAATATATGCTTAGAATAAATATTAACATTTTTCATACCAGCTGGTTCTTTGCTTACAAAACCTAAAAAATAACATCAAAAATAAAAATCTAAAAAAAACCCCCAACTATGTGAACTACAATGTAAACACAAAAGTCTACCACAGACATAACGTTTGCTTCACTGTCACACCCAAGATGGTCTTCACACAACTACATGTTGCACACACAAGGATCACACCCACTGCTTGCAGGTATATTTAATTTTCCTGTACTTTATTGTGGTGCAATTGAATCTTTTTAGCTTTCCTTTTGGTTGTAGAAAGTCTTTTTGAGGTTGTACGTGCCTCTTCACCTGTGAGATCATCAATGTATCCCACAATATTTTTTGGGTAGTTCTCTAGGTAGAAACATTTTATTTTTCCTCTTCTATAAATGATCTCTTATGCACTCCAGTCTCAATCTTCTAAGAATCTTTCTTTCTTTTCCTTTTTCCTTTTTTTATTCAGTACTGGGGATTGAACTCATGACCTTGTATTTGCCAGGAAGGCACTTAACGCCTCTGAGCTATCTCCTTGGCCCTAGAACATTCCTCTATGATATTTTGCACTTATGATTTTCTTTGGAAACTATCAAACTATTAATGTCACATATGTTTAAGACTGAGCGAAATACAACCATTGGCCAATTGTGTTTCAAATGACACCATAGTTGGTGTATAGCTCATCAACAACATTTACTTCACCTTTGCTTTTGTCGTAGAAAGTTTCCAACTTAGGCTTCTGTTTTCAAGGCTTCTCTACCAATATTTCCACAATGGTGACACAGTGACATCAGTAATACCAGTTTGCTTTTTCTTTGCTATGTATGAGGCCAATGTTGCATCTCTGTGAAATTCAAAGATTGTACTATATAATTCTCTGATTTTAACTTGCAACATTTCATTTGGAATTTCTGTTTTTATTCCTGTGTACAGTTCCTACACAGGTCAACTTATGTGCTGTTATCAAATGTAACATTCAAGTGGAAACTGGTAAGCCAATTGTTGAATGTCACATTCCAGTTGTGTTCCAGTTAGTTTAGCAGATGGGAACATCGACTCTGTTCACACATCAGTTTATGACTATTTGCACCCACAAAGGCATAAAGTTTTATACCATATTTTGACCCATTAATCTTCCAGTCCTTTACATCCTCACAATCACCATGAGACATCCTTGTTAAGTACAGAAGATCCATGAATGCTTTCAGCTCAGCTAGTTAGTCATCATAATATGTGTATTTTTTAATATAGCTATTGGTGCATAAAGAATGTTTTACTTGTATTTCAGCCTTTGTGGCCTTCACAGTAGCTTACAGCATTTCATCTGTTACAATTCCCAACTTTGAATAGCAGTGCTGGCATTCTGTCCAATACATTTACCCCTACCAAGACCCTCACTAAATTTTCAGACCTAGTCTTAACATTGCATATTTCCATTTGGTTGAGTGGCTGTTTTGAAAAATTTTGGCTATTTAAATATGTGTCACATTGCTGTTACCGTCCTCATCTGAATCAAGGAGGGCTGCACTCCTTGTATCTGTATCAGTCGGTTCTTGCTCCATTTCACTGTTATAGGAACTTCGGCTCACATGGTTGGTGTCAAAGTCTTCATCATCACCATCATCCACACACACCACTCTTCTGCTATTGTCTTGGCTTGAGGTTTTGCAAGGGGAAACAATATGATACAGGATGCATATTTTATAAGATTATTTTATAATAGTCATTCAAAGAATCATATACAAAGAGAGTACAGGAAATCTGGCCACACACTAAAGACTGAAGAATCTTGCTGAGGACACCGATCCCATGGCAATGTCCTGCATGAGTCCAGCTGCAGACCTAGAGCTTACAATAATGCCTCCCAAGAGTCCAAATGGAGGCCTAGAGCCCACGATAAAGTCTCAGGCAGGCGTGTTTCACAGATCTGCTCTGGAAAGACCCAAAGATCAGTGTTGGAAGCTAGAAAATCAGTGCCAGAAGAATGAAAGGTTTGTGCTAGCAAGCTGAACTGGAGCCAGGAAGCAGTATCCAAGGTAAAAACTGGTGCTCTCCCAAAAGGTATCACAGCCATCCTCAGTGACAGTGAGGTCCCAAGCTACTCAGATGATAGCAGTAGGCTTCTATCAGCAAGACAAGCTTGAGAGCCAGCATGACAAGCTTTACCAGGAGACTGATCCTTCCCTCCAAAGTCAGGAAGAGATGCTCAAAGTGATGCCCAGAGCTCTCCCAAAGTGAACCGTAGCTATTCTCAGTCACACCCAGGTCCTGGGCTCCTTTAATGATGAGAACAGATGAATCTGTCAGGAAAACCAGCTCCTGCAGGACAAGCAACAACTCCCATCAGCTCCCTATAGCCTCTCTTCTTCTCTAGTTCTGCCTGTTATGCTGCTGGCAACAACCCTCAGGTGGGCTCCCACGCCTAGCACCATGCTGATTCAGTTCAGCTGGGCGTTACAAGTTGTGCACCAGTTGTCAATCCACCACAATCATAAGAGCATGTCTTTTACCATAATCATCTGTACCATGTATGTATATATGTGATACTTCACTTTTGATCTCAAAAATCTGGTTTGCAACTCTGTATTCTTATATGCTATTATACTGAATTGGGCTACTTCTAGCAGAAAAATCCAAAGGAAAAAAAAATTGTAACAAATCCTGGAGTGGTATGGATCTATTGTACCTCTGCAATGCTCAGGCACATACGAAAAAAGTTACATGGAGCATAAGGTGGGGGAAACAATCTCTTTTTACAGTTTTGCACTGCTTTCGGTTTGTCATACAAAGTGGGTAGTCACATTGACTGCTTCCTGTACCCCCCCCCCAGGGAAAGGTAGTGAGCCAAACTTCCCAATGCTGTTACACTAAAAAATAAATTTATGGTAAAAAAAAAAAAAAGTAAGAGGTGGGTCCATAGGACCCAGTCATGTTTCCAGGTTGTGTTTACTATTGAACCTAGGTAAGGGAGTAACTCATTCAACTCCTGTTTCTAACTGTACTAGGACATTGGGTAGAAAAACAGGAAGTCAAAACAGTGAACTATCACTTTTTTTCACTCATCCAGTTATATTTGGAAGATTACTTGTTGCATTTGTAATTTAAAAATCAAAATGAATTTAATAAATACTGAATGCCTCTATGCCATTCTAAATAAATCTGATCCATTAGACTTCTAAAATACATGCAAAGCATTATGTGTTAGAAAGACCAAGAGAGGGCTGGGGAGAAAGCTTGGTGGTCTAAGCACTTGCCTGGCAAGTGCAAGGACCGGGGTTGGATCCCCAGTACCGCATGCCGTGCTGGTCTTAGAACCCAGAGAAGGGGCGCATGCCTATGATCCTGCACTGGGGACACAGAGAGATCACTGGAACTCCAAGCTGCGTAGCGAGACCCTGTACCAAATAAACAAACAAATAAAATTTTAAAAAGAGACAGCAAGAAATAAAAAGGCACCAAAATCCAATCACAAGTCCTAACCAATTGTAGTCTAATGACATGAACCCAAGGCCAGAGTTAACCAGGTTCCCCGAAAAGGGCACTCCCTGGTTTATGGCTTCCCGGCTGCAGGTGGAGACACACATCTCAATGCATCTCTAACCACAGGGCAGGTGTTTCTCCGTCTTCTCCAGGAAGCAAAAGGGCAGGCGGGGCGGCAGCTCCTCCTCCCACCCTGGGGCCGTGGGAGGGCAGCGAAGGAAGTTGAGCAAGAACTACTGAAAGGATAATTCAAACACCATTCTCTCCTAGACTCCTTCAGCGCAAACTGGAAGGAGGGTAACAGTCTCTGGGCCTCCCCCAGGGCTTGCAGGGAGTAGCGCCTACCCCAGATTCCTGCTGGAGAACCTCAGCAGCTGCTGCAGGTGAGCGAGCTGCGGGCTCTTCTCCCACGTCGCAACCCCAATCCCAGAACAGCCTGAGTCTCGCCAACAGGCTGTGCCCAAAGGCTTACAGCTATTCTTTGCTTTGGCCTGAGTCTCGCCAGGAGGCTGTGCCCAAAGGCTTACAGCTTTTCTTTGCTTTGGCGGATGGAAGAAGTCAGCTGGAGGTTGGGGACGGGGCTTGGGGAACTTTAGGGAAGGAGCGGAAATACCTGTTCCGCCCCAGAAAGATTCCCAGGGCTCTGCTTTTCTACCCCAGAACCATTCTAAAGACGGGGTGTCTGCCAGAGGGACCCCCAGGGCTCTGCTCTACTTCCCTGCTGGCAGGGCACCCTTAAACCCGGGCAGGACCTGGGCTCCCCACATTTTAAGTATAGTAGGCTATTAGAAGGAACGGTTAGTAAAGCCTGCTTTCGTTGAATAATAAGTATTGATTGGGACTACCTTTGTAGCCCAAACTGTTCGGGACTCCAGAATACCCGAGTAGAGGAAAGGCGAGGGACGAGATGAGACCATCGGCTCCAGAGCCCAACTGCCCGGTCTGCATTCTTCCTCCACCACCTCGCGTGCTTGGACTCTTGTCTTTTCGCTGCCTTGTGGTCTGTGACGAAATGTACTGACTTTATTTGGAAAATATTTAGTTATGGTAGAAATTAGTAGTTGCCGCCTCCAACTCTGGATCTGAGTATATAAGGTAAAATAGTGATTCTGAAATTGCAGCATGTACAAGAATCGCCTAGAAATTCAGTTCAAACTGAATTAGCAGAGCCCTGGGGGTCCCTAACTTAGTGCGTCTTTCAGAGGCTTTTCTGATGTTTCCATCAGTTGCTTCATCACTTAAATTGTGCATGAGGAAAACTGTAAGAGTTAACGCAGAGTATTACGTGCATTAATGTAATTTGTTACAGCAGTACCTGGCACTGCAGAAAGGACTTAATAACAGCTTCACTCGGATGATCCGCAAGCGGCGCGGCGGCGGCGGCTGCCAGGCGCCCTCCCAGCTGAGGTTCCCTGCCTGCACCTCCTCTTAGCCTTAGAGCCCCGCCCAATCCCTGAAGCGGCGCGGAGAAGCGACCGCAGCCGCGGCCAATCAGCGCCGCCCCCAAGTGGGGGCAATTTGGGGTAGGGGGCCGAGCAGCCCGTCTTGTGGGTGAGAGGGTCAAACGCCAGGCCAGACCCTGGGTTGCGGTCCCCCAGAGCCTCAGCACCTGGCCCAGCTGTTGTTTGTTGCCTTGTGTTTTGGTAAGGCGGTTTCCTTTTATTACCTTTTGTCCTCTTCTGGGGAGCACGTGTCTTTTTCAAAACCCCGCATGTGCGATTGTAGTCTCTAGTTCTGAAAATTTAGGCAGAGCACCCATTTAAGAAGCTTCAGCGCTGAGATTTTTCGCTCAGTTTCTAAGTTCCTTCCCCGGCTGCCCCAAACGGGAAGCGCACACTCTTTCAAACCTGTGCTGGAAGCACTTCTTTCCAATTTGGGGGTTCTCCCCTTCACAGGTCTTTTGATCTGAGGTCCGGTAACCAAAGTTATGTTCCTCCAACTCCGAGGGAAAATGGCCTTTCCGGGCTTTAGATCCAACGACATGTTTCCAGAATTTTGTAACTATTAAGGCAATTTGTTTTTTCTCAGCCTTCAAATCTGAAATCTACTAAAAATGAAGTCTAAATGTTGACATTTATGGGCACGTATTTCCTTTTCTTAAGTGAAGAAAATCGCTGCAGTTTCCTGTTTTGCTCTTGTTGGTTTGCTTTGCTTTGTCACGGGGTCTTGCGAGGTAGCCCAGGCTTGCCTGGAACTCTGATCCTCCTGTGTCAGTCTTCCAAAGGCTGGGCTTAAAGGAATAGGCCACCGTGCCTATTATTATTATTTGTAATTTTTATTTTATTTTATTTTATTTATTTATTTATTTATTTCAGTTTCTCCATCCTTGAGGTTGTACCCTTTCGTGAATTCCCCAAAGTACCTTACACAGCCTGGGGGAAGAGTCATTTTCCCGTCTGCGAGGGTGTGTACTTTCTGCTCCCGTTAAACATAGTAAATGTTGCGGGGGGGGGGGGGGGGGGGGG